TGTCAACGCCAGAAAGTGGTGTGAGATAATCATGGGTAACAGTCGCATGGGCCATGGGTTCCTTCACGCCGGGCGGGCGGAGGTCTATCGCCCAGCCCCCAGCTGGGCTCGGTGGCGCGCCTAAGCTCCGGAGACCGTGGCATCAACGGCCTGCGGCGCCACAAGGCCGGATGGGAGCGGCCCCCGGGTGAGGCCCGCAGCACGGATCGCCTCTGTGATCCGTTCGCGCAGAGTGTTGGCACGCGGCGCCGGCGGGCGTCCCGCGAGCCGATCCGAAGTGCGCTCGAGCGGTACGAAGCGGTCGTCGTTGGGCGGCAGGCGCACATTCCGCTCCACGCAGAGGTTGTGGAGCAGCATGGTTGCCTGGATGACGTCGGTCGCGAAGCACGTCTCCACCTCGAGGCGCCGCCAGAGGACGCCCCAGCGCCGCTCCCACATCCCAAAGGCGCACTCGATCGCCTGGCGGGTGGAGGACTGATAGTGGTTGAACACGCCCTTTGCGGAGGTGTACGTGACACTGGGGCCGGTGGGCCATGGGATCAGCAGCTCCTCGCAGTCGACGTAGCCCGCATCCGCCACGAGGAAGTAGCCAAAGACCCGCGCGACGCTCCGCATCACCTCGAAGAAGGAGGTGCTCCGGTACGCTGTCAAGTCTGGGTTGGCGCCGGGGATGCCAATCGCCGCCCAGGAGAAGGTCCGGTCGCTGTCTGCGATCGCCTGCACATTGATGCTCGCCTTGCCATTCTTGTTGATCCACCTGGCGCGGTTCACCTCTCGCCGGCGAGGAGGCTGCTTGATTAGCACCTCGCAAGGGAGGGGGCGGGGGATGAGAACGCGAGGGCGCGAACGCGCGCAGGCGCTAGTACCGATCAGGGCCGTGCGCACATGCACGCCGTCGAGAGCGCCGATGCACATGTCGATGCACCCCTGCGACGCCGCCCCAAAGGCGACCGTTCGCTCGTCAAGCTCATCCCTGCTCTGGCCGGCGAGCGCGGCCTCGAGACTCCGTCGAAGCGAGAAATGGAAGTGTCGGTTGATGGCGCGGATGACTGTCTTGTTGTGCTGGTAGAAGGTGGCCCTGGACTCGTACTTCCCCATGTATGTCTGGTCGATGTAGGAAGCACCACGGAGCCAGCGCAGCGTGAGAGCGAGCTTCTGCTCCGCCGGCACCAGCACCCCGCGGTAGCCGCCGCGAGGGGCGCCGTCGTCCGACAGCGATGGCGCGATGTCGTCTCGGAGGACCGTCAGAAGGTAGTCAAAGGTGTCGATATCGACTCCGAAGCAGCGCCGAAACTCGAAAGGAGTCAGATACTCGAGCTCAGCGGCGTGGTCCCACCGCGGGTTGGTGCGCATTTGCTGCCGCCGTGCTCGAGGCGCGGCTGCTGCTGCAGCCACTCGCTGCTCGGAGGCGCGTCGCGCGTCGCGAGCTTGCCGCCACGCGCGTATGGCACCCAGCAGAGCCGAGTCAACCGCCTCCTCTCCGCTGTCGGCGGCAGTCGGCGGCGCCGAGCCGCCCAGTAGCTCAATCCAGTCGGCGGCACCGTTCCCAGCAGCACACGCCGGCTCGGGCGATGCGAGGAGCACGCCGACCACCGCCAGCAGCGTGCGAGCGGCGAACGAGCGCGGCATGCGGCCACGGCAAGCGGCGCGCGTTGTTTTGCTCTGTCACGCTCAAAATTTTCCCACAGATGCAAGAGCAAAAACCCCGGCCCGCGTTTTCTGCCCGCCGGCTTCGACGTTGGTTTATTTCGCATCGGAGGGCTTCACAAACGTTCCTCTCGTCTCTCGCAGCCGCGATTTAGCTGATAAATTTGGAATCTTTCTTTGACAAGAACGGGCCCAGAGCGGTGTTTCCAGTGATGCACGCCCTGTGAGCGGGGCGGGGTGCGCACTGTGCCTCTGTGTTCGTGCGTCGCCCATCTCTCCTGGAGATGACCGCTCTATTTATTTATTATAGCGGTGTTTCCATCCCTTCCGGGTTCTGTTTTCTTTCTTTCTTTAGAGGTTTCGACACGATATCTTCTATTTCTCTAAAACCGTCGGTTACGGGACGACCGTTTAACCGGACGCACGTACAGCTTCCTGTGTTCCTGTGCCGCCTCCGCGCGCCAACGCCGCTTCGCCCTGCCCGTGTGGTTCCCGATGGGGCGCAACGAGGAGGCCGTCAAGGTGGTGGTCCGCTGCCGGCCGCTCAACTCGACGGAGCGCGCGGATGGGCGCGACACCATCGTCCAGATGGACGCCAAGATGGGGAGCGTCTCGGTGCACGCGCCAGGCAGCTCCGAGCCACCAAAGGCCTTCACCTTCGACATGGTGTTTGACGAGCGGTCGCAGCAGGCGGACCTGTACCAGAAGACCGCAATGCCCATCGTCGACTCCGTCCTCGACGGCTTCAACGGCACCATCTTTGCGTACGGCCAGACTGGCACCGGAAAGACATTCTCGATGGAGGGTGTCAACGAGCCGCCCGAGCTGCGCGGCATCATCCCGCGCGCCTTCACTCAGATCTTCGATCGCATCTCTTCTCGGGCCGGCGATTCGACCGAGTTCCTCGTGCGCGCCTCCTACCTGGAGATTTACAATGAGGAGGCGCGCTCGGCCAAACCCCCCTCCTACCCGAGTCTGCCACCAGCCCCCACCATCACCATCGCCACCGCCGCCGTCGCCGCCGCTGCTGCTGCCCGGCCACCACCCCCGCCCAGCCGCACAGGTGCGCGACCTCCTCGCGCGGAACGCGCTAAACAAGCTCGAGCTCAAGGAGGACCCGGTGCGACCGACTTGCAAGACACTTCCTGCTGTGTCCTCACCCGCCCAGCTCTGTGTCCTCACATACCGCGACTCCAACCTCTGTTTCCGCTCGCATTGCCCCTCTGATGCGTCCACGGCTCGCCCACAGAGCACGGGCGTCTACGTCAAGGACCTGACGTCGTATGTCGTCCGATCGGTCCGCGAGTGCGACAAGCTGCGCCACTTTGGGGCAGAGAACCGGCACGTCGGCGCGACCAAGATGAACGCCGACTCGTCGCGCTCGCACTCGATCTACACCATCACCGTCGAGCAGTGCGAGACTGACGCGCGCGGCGAGGCCCACATCCGGCAAGGCAAGCTCAACCTGGTCGACCTGGCTGGCTCAGAGCGGCAGGCCAAGACGGAGGCGAGCGGCGAGCGGCTCAAGGAAGCAACCAAGATCAACCTGTCGCTCTCGGCGCTCGGCAACTGCATCTCGGCCCTCGTCGACGGCAAGTCGAAGCACGTGCCCTTCCGCGACTCGAAGCTGACGCGGCTGCTGCAGGACTCGCTCGGAGGCAACACAAAGACGGTCATGGTGGCGAACATGGGGCCGGCCGACTGGAACTACGACGAGACGATCTCGACGCTGCGGTACGCCAACCGCGCCAAGAACATCAAGAACAAGCCCAAGATCAACGAGGACCCAAAGGACGCGATGCTGCGAGAGTTCCAGGAGGAAATTGCGCGGCTCAAGGCAGAGCTGGCGGCCGACGGCGGCGGCGCGGCGGGCGGTGGCGGCGGCGCGTCGGGCGGCGCGGCGGGCGGCGCGGCGGGCGGCGCGGCGGGGACGGTGGAGCGAGTGGTGGAGGTGGAGAAGGTGGTGGAGGTGGAGAAGGTGGTGGAGCGCGAGGTGGAGGTGGAGAGGGTGATTGAGGTGGAGAAGGAGGTGGAGGTGGAGGAGATTGTGCGCGTGGAGAGGCCGGTGGGCGTGTGCGCGGAGGAGGTGGAGCGGATGCAGCGGCAGCTGAGCACACAGGCGGAGCGCGAGAAGCAGGCGCTCCTTGATGAGGCGCTCAAGGCGCGCGAGGAGAAGGCGGGGCTCAACCGTGAGCTCGGCGAGGTGCAGCGAGGTGTGCTGAGACATGGCCGAGATGCAACCGAGATGCGGCCGAGATGCGGCCGAGATGCGATGCCGCTGAGGCATGGCGCGGACAGAGAGCAGCGTGATGCATCCGCCAGGAGACCCTCACACAGTTGAGCGTGCCATGGTTGCCTCACGCGATACGGATCTGACATAGGCATCCACCAGGAGAGGGACGCCATCGTTCGCGCGAGGCACCGGCTCAAGGAGCTCGAGGGCAAGCTCATCGTTGGCGGCGAGAACCTGCTCGACAAGTCGGAGAAGCAGGAGAGCCCCTCCCACCCTCCAGCAGTTGTTGAGCTCGTGCGTGCCTCACTGCCGCCCTCCCCATTCCCTCTGCAGGAAATGGAGAACCAGCGCCTCGCCGCCGAGCTCGAGCAGCGGCAGCAGCAGCAACAGGAGCTCCAGCGCGCAGTGGCGGCGGAGGAGGAGATGCGGCTCGGGCTCGAGGAGCAGTACGCCTCGCTCGAGGCAGAGGTCGAGGGCAAGACAAGGAAGCTCAAGCGGCTGTGGACAAAGTACCAGGCGGCGCAGGCGGACATATTGGATGTGCAGAAGGAGTTCCAGCGCGAGAAGGAGGACCTGCTCGACACGATCCGCGAGCTTAGCCGCCAACTCAAGCTGCGCCAGCTGCTGATGTCGGCTAGCATACCGATCGAGCAGCTCTCCAAGATTGAGCGCTGCTCCGAGTGGGACGACGCCAACGAGCAGTGGCGCATCTCACGGCTCCACTTTGCGGGCAACCCGTGCGCGCAGCGCGGTGATCGGCGACCGCCACCCGCGGGGTACGGGGGCGGACCGCTGCGCGCGCGGGCGGCGGCGGCGGGCGGCAAGCCGACACGCCCCTACAGCGCCGTCAAGGCGATGTCGAGCGTCTACTTTTCGTACAGCAATCCGGCGCCCTCGCCGGAGTACGATGGTGAGGTATCATAGATAGACGCGAGGCTGTTGCATTTGTCTCGCCGACTGTGATGGCCGGTGGCGGTTTCTCATGACTCGCACGTGCTATCAACGGAACTTCCGATATGGCAAAGGGGGGCGTGCGAGATCGTGGTACTGTGTCGCGTGCAAAAGTACCCAGAAACACCTTTCCGTTCACACCACCCTTTCCGTTCACACCGCCAGGACACAACCGTTACTGTAGTAAAACGAGATGCGTACGAGCCCCCCAAATGGCTTCCCTGTGGCTTCCCAAAGCGCTAAACCGGGAGATATTGGGATGGTTATACACGCGCGCTCGCTCCGATAGCTGAAACCGGGAGATTGTCACTGGGGATGGTTATACACACTTGCACACACCCCACACACGTGTGCGCGCGCCCGCCCGCGCCCGCCCAGCCGGCCTCCGCCGCCCGACGCCGAGACCTCGCCCCACGCCCCACGCCCGCAGGTGCGCAGCTCCGAGATGTGCCTCATCCTATCAGGGCGCTGGCACACGGTGACACAGGCGTGCGAGAAAAACAAACTGAAGACACTGACAACAAACTGAAGACACTGACAACGCACTGTGGCACACACTCTCTCCACTCTCGCGCACGCGCACACGCACGCACGCAGCCGCAGAGCGACACAGCTGACAGCAGCCACAAAGCCAACTCAGGGCGGCTCTTCGTCCTCCTCGAGCAGCAGCTGGAAGGAGCGGAGGAAGGGTGCGCCCAGCGCGAGCGCCTGCTCAACGCCAAAGTGATCCTCCCCCTGCACGTTCGGATCGTCGCGCTCCATCCCCTCGCCGAATCGGCCCGCCTGCTCTGGCAGCATGCCAAGCTGCAGCGCCGCGACCAGTCTCCGCAGCTCCTCCCGCGTCAGCTCCTGCAGCGTCTCTCCGCCGCCGTCGGCTGTCGAGCGCGGTAGCAGAAACTCTCCCAACTCGTCCTCGTCGAGCGCGCCGTCCCCGTCGCCATCATGCCACTCGAAGCGCTGTGCGTCCTCCGCAGCAAGCCCCTCGTCCTCGCCCTCGTCCTCCGCCGTATCCTCGCCTCGCAACCGCTGCCGCCACCCATAAAGCTCCCGCCTCGTCAGTCGCCCGTCCGCGTCCGCGTCGTGCGCGGCGCGGACGCGCTCGCGCAGAAAGGCGCGGAAGGCGTCGGCGCGCCCCGACCACTCTGGGAAGAGCAACGCGTGCAGCTCAGACGGCGCGACCTGCCCGTCCGCGTCGACGTCGGCGAAGGCGAAGAGGTCTGGCCGCTCGACCTGGTCCGCGTGGTGGACGTACAGGCGTCCGGCCTCAAACTCAGGGAGCGAGAGGGTCCCATCGTCGTCCGCGTCGGCGGCGCCCAGCAGCGCGTGGGTCTCGTAGGTGGTGGACGCGCGGACAGACTCGAAGTAGCTGCGCGCCTGCGACTCGAGCGCCGCCTGCAGCTCCGCCACGTCGAGTCGTCCGTCGCGGCTCACGTCAAGCCGCTCGAAGAGCGCGCGCACCGTGGCAGGATCCGCCTCAACCTCATCGATATCGTCCCACGCCAGGTCGGAATCCATCTCGTCCCATGCCAACTCGTCCTCAGCCGATTCGGTGTTAAAATTGGCGTCGGTGGAGTCAACGGTCGCGGCCGAATTGTCGGAACGTCCCGAACAGAGGAGAAGCGCGACCGCGAGCGTGCGCAGTGTCATCAAGCGCCGGGCGCCACGAGTGGCGTCCGGGCAAAAGAATTGTGCGTCCGCGCGCGAAACCGGGGAAAGAATTCGACCAGCCGTCTAAGGAGACTAGGCACGGGACGAGAATCGGCGAGGGACTGCGAAGGGAGATAGAAAGAGGCAGACGACCAAGGGTTGGGTGGGCGACGGCTAGCACCACAACACTCCTCTCCTTGAAATCCCTGTGTGGTGGCGGCGTGCCGTCCTCCCATCCCTCCCTTGGGGTGTTTTCTTTCTTTCGTGCGAGAGAATTTTTTTAAATCTTTCTTTCTTTCTTTTTAGGCACGGGACGGCGCGTACGCACCACTCCTATAAACACCCCAGCAAAGAATTTCAAGGGGATCCAGCCCTCGTTGTGCGTGCCATGGTGCGAGGTGTGCTTTCTTTCTTTCTTTCTTTCTTTCTTTTGAAGGGAGTCCACAAAAAGAAACGCTGCTACGGGTCAAATCCGGTCCCTCGTAATCGTGCGCGCGTCCCCCATTCGGGGACACTTTCCAACTCTCTAGCTGCGCGTGTGCGCCGACGTCACGACGCCCACACCCCCCTGCTCCTGTCCGTGCCCCGCTGGCAGCAAGCTTGACTGCGCAACTTTGTAGTCTGCCGCCTTTTACTGCGTGGTGCTTCTCTCTCCGCGGCATCGATGCCGGCCTTCTCGCTCCTCGCAGCCCTCTCTGACCATGGTGGCTCTAACTACGTCGCGGCGGCAGGCACGTCCACCGGCGATGTGTTGGGCGGCCTTCGCCGCCAGCTTTCTGGATCGGCGTCTCAATCTCCCTCCTCTCACTATGTCTGCCCACCCTCGTTCCCGTTCCTTCGCCACTGGGTGAACGAGCCTCGATGGGCCGTGTGGTGCTACGCAAGTGAGTCCGCAACCGGCCGGAGATGCAATGTTGAAACCTCCCTCAGTGTGACGGCCGCAGACGGCCGTGCTGCAAGGTGGGGCATCGCCGGCAACTTTCCTGCGTGTCCAGTCCACCTGCCCTCGCCAATCCCCGTCTCCGAATCGTCACGTTCAGTCCCATCCTCGTCACCCGTCGTCTCCGAACTGCCGCCACTCGAGGCCCCACCCCGACGGCATAACGTCCTCTTCTTCGTGATGGACGATCTGCGCCCGGACCTGAACGTGGCGTACGGTCAGACGGAGGTGGTCTCGCCGAGGCTGGACGAGTTTGCCGGCAAGTCACTCACCTTCGAACGGGCGTACTGCCAGTTCGCTCACTGCGCCCCCTCGCGGCAGAGCTTTATGACTGGTCGGACCCCCCAGCAAACGAAGGTATACAACTTCGAGTCATCGTTCCGGGACGCAGGCGTTGGCCCCGAATGGGTCACGCTCCCAGAGTGGTTCAAGCAGAACGGCTACTACGTGGCCGGCGGCGGGAAGCTGTTCCACCCAGATTCCAGCGGAGCGGATATCGACAGCGATCCTCAAAGTTGGACAAACTACTATTACCCGAACGACCCAGAGAACCCCACATTCTCTTGCCCGAGCACGCAGCTGTACCAATCCGTGTGTCCTAACTCGTCCACGAACATGGACGTCTTCTTCGACAACCAGCTCGCGGACGCGGCTATGAACGAGCTAGCTGTCGCCCAAAACACTGGCAAGAACTGGTTCCTTGGCGTCGGCTTCTACCGGCCGCACCGGCCATGGAATACGCCCGTGCAGTACTACAATCAGTACCCAAATTCTAACAACATGCCCACGGATATGGAGCAGGCAACGCACAAGGACGCCCCCACGCGGATGCCCGAGATTGCCTGGGGGGAGAGCAACTGGCCCTGCAACCAGGAGAAGCTGGGCTCTTGCACCTGCAAGAGCACCGGCACGAGTGCAAACTACTGTGATTCCGGGACAATATTCACATTCGGCCAGACAGAGCCAATTCCAGACAGTCTAGCCCTGCTTGGTCGATGGGCGTACTACGCTTCCGTGACTTACGTGGATGATGTATTTGGGCAAGTGGTCGATAAGCTGGAGGACCTTGGCATGGAAGAGAACACTGTGGTTTCAGTGATCGGCGACCACGGGTGGCAGCTCGGCGAGCAGGGTCAGTGGTGCAAGCGCATGAACCTTGAACTTTCTACTCGCGTACCCATGATGATCCGCTCACCTTCTCACCCAGGCAGTCATGGGAAGAAGACGTCCCACTTTGCAGAGTTAGTGGACCTGTATAGAACGCTCATCGCGCTTGCGATCCCACCAGATGACACTAGCGTGACTGCTCTGCAAGAGGACGTCGGGGGCGTTGATCTGGCGCCTATCTTTGAGAATCCAACCAACCCTGCGTCGGCTGTGAAGACGCATACATTCAGTCAGATGAGTCGGTGCCCACGACCGGCGGACGGCCTCGGACCGTACTCTTCTTGCAATAGCGAGACACTCGAGGAGATCGCGTGGATGGGATTCAGCGTCCGGTCGGAGCTCTACCGCTACAACATATGGCTTCAATTTAACGGTTCAGACAATTATGCGGCGTGGGGCGGTGACGAGAAATACGAGGAGTTGTACTCGTACGAGAACTCAGACATGAGTGACTTCAACAGTTTCGAACGGGTAAACGTAGTATCCGATCCGGAGTATGCACTCAAGAGGGACGCGCTCTACCTGGTGCTTGCCAGAGAATTTGATCGCTTCGCGCCGCCCTCTCCTCCTCCCCTCACCACACCCCCGACCGCTCTTCCACACCCGCCCCGCCCGTCCTTTTCCCCTCCTTCGCTCCCCCCTCGCCCCCCTCCCCGTCCTCTCCCTCCCCCCCCGCCCTGCCTCGATCTGTCCGAGCTGCAAGGCAAGCGGGCGCTGCGAGGTGAGGCTCACGACGAGTGGTGCTCCGGCAGTAAAACCGGCCTTAGCTGGGACGGCACCGCCCAGCCGAGCTCGGGCGACCGCATCGCGTGCGAGAGCTGGTACGTCGACTCTACTGCGCCGGCTGTGGGCGCCGCCGGCTGCAGCTCGGGCTGCGCGCTCTGCTTCTACAAGGAGCATCGCCGGACTGGCCGGTACCGTTGCCTGATGGGTGACCTGAGACACCGCTGCGTCGCCCCGCCGCCTGAAGCTCTCTCTCCGCAGCCGCCACCGCCACCGCCGTCGCCATCTCCACCAGTCCCTACGTCTTCGCCGCCGCCGCCATCGCCGTCGCCGCCGCCGCCATCGCCGCCGCCGCCGCCGCCGTCGCCGCAGCCGCCTGCTGTGTCCCCTTCTCCGCCTTTACCCTCGCCGCCGAGCCCATCCCCACCGCCTCAGCCCGCCAACCCCTTCAAGGCTTGCGGTCTTGAGCAGGCCTTCACACGGACCAAGGACAACGCGTGCGATGGCGACAAATGTACGTGGTGTGGCCAAATCGGGGGCAGGAGCGGGCCGTTGACTGCAGCGCGGCGCGACAAATGCCAGAGCGTGTACTACATCGGTACTGCAGCGTACGTGTCGGAGTGCGGGATGGTCCGGGTAGGCGACAACGACTGGAGGTGCAGGCTAGAGTGGCCTCCGCACTACAAGTGCGGTGCGGCGGTTCGGCGCAGCGCGTGCGCGCAAGGCTCTGGACGCGAATGCCTGCTGATCACCTTCCCAGCGACACCAGGCAAGGCGTGCGACGGTGCCTTCCAGGCGTCGGCTTGTGAGGTCTTTGCCCAGCTAGCCAGCGTGAAGCCCGAGGCGTGCAGTGTCTGGTGCCACAGTAGCGACCTGCTGCTGTCCCTCGCCGAGCTTCCGCCCGCCTCCGAGCTCGCGCCGAGCTCTGGGCGTCCGAGCAGTGCTGGTGTGGGAGCCCGTGCGAGCGACGGGTGGCACGCGGCGCCCCCCAACGGCAGCATCATCACCGTCTCTCTTGAAGCGCCCTCCGCCGAGGCGATCACCGTGATCGAGGCTACTGCTGTGGAGACGCTGTCGATCGCTGAGGCCGCTGAGGCCTTCCTTGCCGCGCATTTCATTGGCGCCGTCCCGCTCCCGGGGGCGGTGGACGCGCAGCCTGAGGGCTCGCCGTCGCCTCCCATGGCTGCCATTGTTGGTGCCGTGATGGGCGGCGCTGCGGCGCTCTTCCTCGTGGTACTCGCGCGGCGGCGGTTTGGACGGTTGGCCCTGTGCAGGGCGGGGTGCTTCGGGTCTGACTGTGGCCCGTGTGGGCAGGGGGGATAGTACATTTACTACGACTTCTATCGCCGACCGCGCACTCTTCGTACTCCCTTTTGTCTGTAGTGATAGCACAGGACCAACTCAGCGCGCGTGCCGATGGCGCGGCGCAGCCCAGCCAATTCTCGGTCAGGTGTAGTGGATCGGGGCTCCTCTTTGTATTTCTCTCTTTCATCTCGTTCCCGTTCTACCTGAGAACGAAGAGCCTCGCGAAAAGAACTTCAGATGGTGTCAAGTGTGATGGTTGCGGGGAGATGAAGCAAGCTTGGAAGACGCGCACACGTGTCGTTTTCTGTAATTTCTGAGAGCCTCTCAAATGCTGGAGTTGACGAAGTTGATCAAACAGAAGAACGGGCTCTCTCGGCTACGGGACCGGCCCCAGCTTCGGCCGAGGGCTGACAACCTGCCGAGCCCAAATCACTTTCAGAGTCGTGATTTCTTGTTGGTTTTCTAAAGTCTCTCTCTCAAACAGAGGCTTTGGGCGCCGACGCCTCCGCCCCTCCCTGCGTGCGCGTCTTCTCCTTTGCGCGCATCGTCTCGAGCTGCCGAACCAGCTCCACCGGCTGGGGCATCCGACCGGTGGCAAGCTTATAAAAATGCAACCCAACTCCTATACGCCTAAGTATGTTTTCACATTTCCTGTGTTCAAAGCTGTGAACGGTGTTCACAAGTACATAGTCTAAAGTTAAGTTCCGTTGCCAATATTCCCATGTGAACGGTCCTCGCGGGCACGGACGCTGCGGGCGCGGGCGCGGGGGTGGAGGAGGCGCTCAATTGCTGGGAGGAGGAGGCGTACGAAGCGGAGACGCTGGAGACGCTCGCCGAGTTCGGCGATTGAGCGCCTCCCTCTCTCTCCGGCTGCGCGCATGACCGGTGCGGCCTCCGAGTGGGCGTCTAGCGCGCGCGATAAGGTTTTTGCTAGCCTTCCCTGGGACCCCGTGTTGCATGTCTGACTGTCACTGTGCGATTTCGGGGCCCGGGGTTGTGCGTTTATGTGAACAGCGATGAGCTCACTAGCTAGAGCTCACCGACACTAGAGGCCGTCATCGCATTCGCCCTGGGACCCAGCGCTGACTTCTGACTGTCGTTGCGGTCTATCCCTTTCTCGACTGTCTGAGCTTGTGCGTCTTGGGTCCGTGGTTGTGTTTTTGTGTGAACGGCGTCATAATCATATCACGCTGAATTATAATGCAGAATGGCGCGAAAGGGAGCGCGGCAACAGCTTTTTCAGAACTGATTCCCAATGGGCCGCGGCGGCGACGCCTGCGACGTCGGGTGCACGGCCGTCATCGAGCGCACGACCGCCACCGCCCACACCGACGCCGACGTCGTGTCTCTCCGCTGCGACTCCACCGGCCGCACCGCGCCGGTCGAGCCGCCCGATTCGCTCGACGCTCTGCTCTCTGCAGCAGCAGCCCTGCTCGGGTCGACGGTCCACGACGCGGCGTTCGCGTCGAGCGGAGAACCGCTCACCGATCTCGCCTCCTGCGCCAACGGCGAGCGGATTCGGCTCTTAACCACGCCGTCGGTGACCGCGCCGCCGGCGCCGGCCGCCGATGAGTGCGCCGATGCGAAGCCGTCTACGCCTCTCCGCTCCTCGGCGCCGGAGTTTGTGTACGCGCGGCTGCCCCCGCTCCCTCAAGGCCCGCCTCCGTCGACGCTGCCGGGCGGCTACCCGCCGCCGCCCGTCGCGGGCCCGCCGCTCCCGCCCCTCGGCCTCTCTCCTCTCGCCATGCCGATGGGCGCGTACACTCGCCTCGGCCGCCTTGCGAAGGGTGCGTGCGCACGCCCGGTGAGACGTGTCGCCCGGTGGCTGATGTAGGGGTGCCGCTCCAAGACATGCACGCTCCGCCCGGCTCGCCCGGCGCCTGCCTGCCCGGCTCTCCGATGCTCGGCGAGCAACGGCTGAGGGGCCAGGGGCCTCTCGGCGACGAGAACCTTCTCGGAACCTTCTCGGAACCTTCGCCTATAGGGCCCGGCTCTCCGATGCTCGGCCCGTGCGGCTCGCCACTCGTCCCGGCGCATCTCCTGTCCCCGTTGCTCTCCCCGCTCGCCTCCCCCATGCTCTGCCCCCCTCCCTTCTACGCCGACTACCCGCAGTACGACTACCCGCCGCAGCACGACTACCCGCCGCACGAGTGGCAGGTGAAGGAGCGAGCGAGTGAGATTGAGGAGTCCACTGCCCGCCGCATGACCACCCGTCCACGATTCGCAGGTGGCTCCGGCCATGGAGCAGCTCCTCCCTGCCCCCGAGCCGCCCGCGCAGTGGCCGATCTCGCCCGAGGCGTCTGCCCGCCGCAGCGAGGAGGAGCGCGCCCCCCTCTCCTCTCGCGGCCTCGGGAGAGTACGACGATACGAGGGAGTGAATCAATGAGCCGTTGGTGGGGCGAGTAGGAGCACATCCTCGCGGCCTCGTGGGTGCGCGAGAACGAGCGCGCGTGGCGCATGTCGCAGGCGCCGCCGCCTGCTGCCCCCCCGGCGCAGCACACACTGTACAGAGGCCTTGCATGCCGCGGCTCATGCAACACACGCGCGTCTCGGCCGTGCCTCGAGTGTGGTAGAGAAGCCCTGGCCCGCACCGCACCCAACACCTCCTTTAACCGCATTGCGGTGCTGCAGGCGCCGCCTCCTCCGCCGCTGCCCGCGAGTTCCCTCGGCCACCACGCCAGCTACCTCCGGTCGCCGCGCGGGCCCGTCGGCGGCAAGGGGGCGAGATCTAGCCGAGATGCAGCCGAGATATAGCCGAGATCTGGTCGAGAAGCAGCCGAGATGTAGCCGAGATAAGCCGAGATGAGGCGGCCGTGCTCAAGTCCTTTCCTGGAACCTTCCTGTAGGCGCCGTCCTCGCCTCTGGGGGTGGCGAGGCAGCCGAGCAGGCCCAGGCCGCCGACGAGAAAAGAGCAGCAGAAGGCGAGCGACCGCTTCGCGAGGCAAGCGATGCAGCAGCAGTTTGCTGCGCAGCAGCAGCGCCTGCTGCAGTATGCGCAGCAGCAGCAGCAGCAGCAGCAGCAGCAGCAGCAGCAGCAGCAGCAGCAGCAGCAGCAGCAGCAGCAGCAGCAGCAGCAGCAGCAGCAGCAGCAGCAGCAGCAGCAGCAGCAGCAGCAGCAGCAGCAGCAGCAGCAGCAGCAGACCGCCACGCCGCGCGGAGGGTGGATGCCGGCGGTGCCGCCGATCATCAGCGGAGGAGACTCGCCCCCCGCCGGCGGCGGGGAGACGTACAAAGGCGCCGCCCGAGGGCACGCCAGCCCGCGGCCCTTAGTTTCTTATTAACGGAATGGCTCATTACTGATTAGGCGCCGCCCGAGGGCACGCCAGCCCGCGGCCCTTAGTTTCTTATTAACGGAATGGCTCATTACTGATTAGGCGCCGCCCGAGGGCACGCCAGCCCGCGGCCCTTAGTTTCTTATTAACGGAATGGCTCATTACTGATTAGGCGCCGCCCGAGGGCACGCCAGCCCGCGGCCCTTAGTTTCTTATTAACGGAATGGCTCATTACTGATTATAGGCGCCGCCCGAGGGCACGCCAGCCCGCCGCCAAAGAGCGAGGCGGCGGCGGCGGCGGACGGCGGCGACGGCGCGGTGACGGTGGCGCGGCCGCGCCGCCGCCCGAAGAAGTTGCGCGAGGTGCCCGTGCTGCAGGTTCGAAGGCTAGTGTAGTGTGGCCGCGTAATGAAGGACTAGTGCGTGGCTGAGGTCTTGAAGAGAGAAGGAGTCCATGTCTGGAGCGAGGTGCCCCTCTCTGCCCTGCGCAGGCGAAGCTGTACAAGACCAAGCCGTGCCGCCGCTGGCTCGTCCAGACCCCGCGGCAGCTCCGCAAGGGGACGAGTCCGTCGATCAAGTGAGGTGTCGTTGGTGTGCTTCAGGCACATCCAGACCCCGGGCAGCTGCAAGATGGGTCCGGCCTGCTTCTTCTCGCACGGGGAGGGCGACGTGTCCAGCGAGGGGGCGCCCATCCCGGTGACCCGAGATGGCCCGAGAGGACCCGAGAGATGACTCGAGATGAGAGACCGAGGGTGAGACACGTGTCCAGCAATCCCCCGGTGATGGAACGCCCCCGCGTTCCCCGCCCGCTCTCTGGCCAGGTGCCCGACTGGCTGCTGGAGCAGCTGGACCGCGAGGGCATCAAGGTGACGGGCGAAAGCGACTCCAATCAATTGAGTCGTTAGCGTGTGAGTTGTTCTCATTGAGATGATGGCAGGTGACGGACGAGGTCTACTCCTCCTCCCCGAGCAAGGCGCGGCACGGAAGACACTCACCCCCCCCCCCCCCTCCCCACCCCCCCACCCCTCCCGATCTTCGTTCATTCATAAGGGACCAATGATGAGAGCAGGTTGCGGACGCGGTGCTCGACCTGTCCGTCTGCCAGCCCGCCGGCCGGCCTCCCCGCGGGCAGCTCGTCGCGCTGGCTCAGCTCTCCCCTCCGCGCGGGCAGCTGGCGCCGCTGGTTGCGGAGGCGAGATCTAGCGGAGATGTGCAGCCGAGATGCAGCCGAGATGCAGACGAGGTCTAGACGAGACACAGCTGGTTGCGGCGGCGAGAGAGAGAGAGAGAGGACAGCTCCGGACATGCCCTCGGGCGTGTTTATCTCGCCTGTGCTGCGCGTGTGCTGCGTACAGGCGAAGCGCAATTCATCATCAATTAGTGATCATTGATTAGGCGAAGCGGCAGCAGGCGCTCAAGTCGAGCGAGAAGGCGGCGGAGGAGAAGAAGCGCGGGTCGATGCGGTGACCCCCCCCCCCCTTCCGTACCCCCTCCATACACCCCCTTTTCTTTACCCATCCCCCCCCTCGGCTGTCCCCTCGCTTTCTCTCGCCCACTCTCCACACAGCGCTAGCGTGAGACGACTGCCCCTCGGCTCACCTTCTCCACAGTGCTAGCGCTTTCGTCAGCGTGACACGATTGCGCCTCTCCCAGGGCGAGTTCCGAGAAGGTTCCGAGAAGGCTGCGTGACACGCCTGCGCCTCTCCCAGGCGCAAGCTCGTGTGGGGGGACGAGGAGGCGCCGCAGCCGACGGGAGGCAGCGCTGGCGCCGGAGTCGCAGCACTCCTTCTCGGAACCGTCTCGGAACCTTCTCGGAACTCTCCCTGGATAGACAAGCTGGCGCCGACCGCTGCGGGCGCCGACGCGACTCGCCTGAGCGCCTGAGGGCAGCGGTGCCACGACTTGCGACCGCCGCCGCGCGAACGCGCAGCGAGACTAATTGTAGAGCGATCGTCGAACATCGCGTGTGCCGCCAGAGAGGCTCGTGCTGGTGTTTGCGCTATGCTCGTGCGGCGACCTCTCGCTCTGCGTGTGTAGAGGGACAGTCCTGAACTCGAGACGCAAGGCCAAGGGGGGCACGCCCGGATATGTCTCTGACTTTCTCTCTTGTGGAGAGAGCAATGAGACCAATGTGGCGTACCCTGTGTGTGTGTTGCCCCCTCTTGTCTCTCCGTCCGGGCCCACGAGGGGCCTAGTTCGCCCTCTAGCTGCAAATTGCCGTAGTATGAAATGTTATGCAGATGCAGGAGCTGTGAGTGGATGATCCTGGGCGCCCCGTTGTCCCTTGTCGGCATGTTCCGTTTCGCCAGTCCCGTGCCCAGTGAGAAGTTGTAAAATTCTTTTCGTGCACCACAGCGTTTTAAAATTCTTTTGTTGTAAAATCTTTTCGTGCTGAGAGCTCCAACTCTCGGCGCGAGCGCCCGCCGCGGCTCTTGTGCGACGCTCGGTTCGTGATGCTTGCGACGCTCGGTTCTCGTGATGTGCCCCCCACCACGCAGGAAGAAGAAGAAGAAGAAGGCATACGCGCGCGTCGCAGACCCCGACGGGGGTGTTATTGAGGTCGCCGAGGAAGAGGCAGACGATCTTGATGTCGCGATCGAGGAAGGCAAACTCGTTGGTGATCGCGCCCTGCCACCAGCGCATGCAGTGCTGTGCCGCCTGCGCCTGGCAGCACTGGCGGTGCTGCTGCTGCTAGTGGTGGTGCCACTGAAACTGGTTTCCTGGGCGGCGTCCGGCGCCAGCGCAGCGCCCGCCGTGGACCAGCAGCAGGCGGACACGATGCCGGTGCCCTTGGCGCCGCCGCTGCCGCCGCCATCACCGCCAACGCCGCCGTGCGGGTATCCCGGCAAAAGTCTGTCCGCTCTGTCCCCGCCTCGGTGGTGCTACCATCTGGACGGGAACGCCACCGCCTGTCATCTCGCATTTGTCGACTCACCTAGCAGCTCTGGAACGCTCAGCAGGCGATGCACCTACGCAGCTGGAAGGTGCAAGCTGAGCAGCGGCGAAGGTGTCCTCTGCCCATCACCTCCGAGCTCGCCGCCGCCCCCTGCTTCACCGCCACCATTGCCATCGCCACCGCCACCGCCTCCGTTTCAGCCGCCGCAGATTTGGACGCGACATGCGGGCAAAAATTGCTTTTGGGATGGCAATGGCGCAATCATCGACCTGGACCCAACACCAGCCCCCGGTGTTGCGAGCCTCGAGGAATGCAAGAGTCTGTGCGTGGCGACGCTTCTTTGTGAGGGGCTACTCTTTTCAAATCAAGGTCAGTGCTATCGCAAGGGCGACGTCCAGGTCGGCCGGTGTCGGACGGACAGGCGATTTGATCTGTACGTGTATGTGCTCGCCTCGCCGCCCTCGCCGCCCCTGCCGCCCTTTCCGCCAGACAGTGAAGCGGTGCGCGCCATCAATCAGCGCTTCCGGTCCGGCGGGCCGAGCGACAAGCTGACAGAGGTTGGAATTCTGCTCCATCAGTGGGACGGCCTCGAGGCGAACGACGAGATGCGGCCGTATAAAATGTGCGTCGAGAAGTGCACCACCCTCGGGAGAGAGATGTCGGGACGCGTCTCTGCGATGGCCGTGTACCAGGGGCTCAAAATCCGCCCGGATCGGGTCGGTATACCGCTTCCCTTTGGAAACCGTGGCGGCCTCGTCCTCGACGGGGCGCACGTTACTCTCGAATGCCTGTTTGGCATCGACGGCGCGTCATATACGTCCGACGATGCGAGGCGGCCCGGCTGCACTCGCACGTTTTGCGATCGCGCACAGATGCAGGTCCCCAACGTTGGGCTTTGTGGCTTCGCCGGCTACCCGCCTCAGGCGTGGGGACCGGCCGACCTCAAGCTTGTCCTCGAGACGCACAGAGGGCACGGCGCGCCCTACACGGCGCCCGCGTTCCACTCGGGCTACAACGAGCTAGTCCTGAATGCGCGCAAGCTCAACGAGCAGCTGCCCCACGCGGTCAGCGCCTTCTTCCTCCTCAGAGGGAGGGGAGGGGAGTATGAAGGCGAGGTGACTGACGACCTCGATCGCGGCGTGGTGATTGATGTCGTCCGCGCGCACCGGGCGTTTCTCGCCGAGTACCATTTGACCGCGGATGAGGTTCCTCTCCTCGTGCTAGACCCGATGAACTGGGAGAGGCCCTTCACGCCCTACGTGAGCTGACGCCTTATACCCAAACCAAAAATCTAACACGAATCATTTCACATTTGGTAAAAATCTCTCTCTCTTGTCATTACGAGAGTAGAGTACGGCTTTACGTTTACCCACGGCCACGCTTGAGCACAAAACTTGCGAGATTTTTCTCACGACTCAGCCGGCAGACCCCGCGCGGAGGAGATGCTCGACTGCTTCGAGTGGGGGGAGCCGCCGGCCGAGTGCGCGGCGGCGGTCGAGCACTTGCGCGCAGCCATCGCCGAGGGCCCGACGCGCGCTTGGACGTGCGGCGGCGGCGGCTGCTGCTGCGCTTCTGCACGGGCCTCAACGCGCTGCCTGTCAACGGGCTCTCGCGCAAGGTGAGCTTCAACTTCCTCGACAAGCCGGGCGTGCCCCTGCCCGAGCCGCACACATGCACGCACGAGCTCGACTTGCCGGCGTACAGCAGCCAGGCCGAGCTGCTGGAAAAGCTGCTAGTGGCGCTCGACTCGTTCGAGGCGGACCCGAGCTTTGGCCAGGAGTGATGGCTCGAGTGCAGCGAGAGGCATGTACAATGAACGAGTGTATGTGTAGTTGTAGCATCGGGATGCATGAGCATGTGCGCCCCGACGCTATAGCTAGCCAAGAGGCGCTGTATGGGTCTCTCTGTACACCGATCGAGAGAGAGTAGAGAGAGAATACGTTCCGGTTCGATCACCCCACACAATATACACCCATCTCAGAGAGTGACTATGGTCTAAAGCCGTAAAGCCGACTGAGCTCTATCATGCCGGTCTCATGCGATGGTCGTGCACGACCCGAGATCCCCGTGTGTCTCGCGTGGCCCTCCGCTTTTTCATCTGCCGTGCACAATACTGTACTAGTTGTCCGTTTTTACAAAATACACAGCGCGCGCGGTCACCGAAAAAGCGCATCGTCACAACATCAAGCAAGCTCACAAAACTCAAACGCAGGATTCGGGGTGCCTCGGGCGGCCGCTGCGCGCGCATACGGAATGGTGGCTAATGACACACTCGATCGCGGCTCGGCCCGCGTCGCGTCGCTGCCGCCCCCCGCGCCTAGTTCTTTCGCCGCTCGTCGCCCGCGACCGCCGCTGGCGTCGGCTCGTGCGGCGGCGAGACGGGGATCGAGGAGGGAGCGGCGCCCCAGATGTTGTGCGGGTCGGCGTGGGTGCCGGAGAAGAGGGTGGCGTTCGAGACCACGCGCGCCTGGCGGGGAGGCGGAGGAGAGGTGAGTGAGGGGGGGGGGGGGAGAAGGGCGATGGGCGGGGAACGGCGGGCCACATCCCTGCTGCATCTCTGTGCTGCATCTGTGTGATTCATCTCGGGCGGTCGCGTGTCCTTCATCCCCAAGGTGGGGCTGGGTGACCTCGGGTGACCTCGGGTGACCTCGTGTGATCTCGGGTGATCTCGCACCCCCGAGGTTGGGCTTGGCTGGCCGAGCCCGCTGCCGCCCACGGTGCCGCTCGGCAGCATGAGGTCTGGCAGAGAGCCAAAGAGGCCGGCGAGGTGCGAGGCGGTGAACTCCGCAGAGGCGGAGAGGCGAGGGCCGCCGCCGGGCGCCGCGTCGGCGGCCCACGGGGCTGCGGAGGGAGGGGAGGAGGGGAAGGGGGGGGAGGTTAGGGATAGGGTGTGGGGTGCGGATAGAGGACGGAGAGGCAGGCAGTGAGACGGCGGCAAGGCGCGGGTCTGGGCTTGCACCCGAATCGCCGCTGACCGGCGGCAGCGACGGCAGGTTGAGGGGTGTCCAGCCGCCGGCCGAGCCGATTGCTCCGAGGGAAGTGCGACCCTCGCCCGACGAGTTGTCGTCCCGCAGCTCGGCGGGCAGCAGCGACTCGAGCCCGACCTGCAGCCGCCGCAGGTGGCCAGAGCGTGAGGGACCAACCGCCGCCCCGCGCGCGTTGGGTGCAGCGGCAACGGTGAGGGGGGGGGGGGGGGGGCGTCGAAGTGCGTGTATACTCGCCTTGGGCACCGCCGCCGCGGCTGCCGCCGCCGCCTGCCCTTCGCGCGCCGCGCCCGCCGCGCCGTGGCGCAGCCGCTCCTCCTCGATTTGCTGCTGCAGCTTTTGGGAGCCGCCCAAGTCGAAGAACCCAGACGAGCCTACGCGGCGGCGGGGAGGGTGTGAGGCCCGCCTGCAGGGGCGGCGTGGGCGGGCGGCGGAAGGGGCCGGAGGAACCGCGGGTGGTGGTGCCTCCGCCCGGGGACGAGATGGGAGACGACCACTCGCACTCCTACTCCTCACACACCGCACCACTGAGCCGTGGACCAGACGCCGTCCCGCGGGAGACCCGAGCGGCGGAAGGGCGAAGCCGCTCGCGCCTCGCTCAGCGACGGCGGCAGCGCCCACCCCTCGTCCTCGTCGTCGCCGTCCATCCCCTTGAGCGCCGCGCCGACCGCCACCTATCAGGAATTCATCACCATCACTGCTCACTGCACATTCGTCGCCGAGCGC